CCCCCCTGTCGTCTGTGCACTGTAAATCAGAGATTGGTACTGACTGCACGTTTTCTGCGATACAGAAATATTGTACGATGTTGTTATGATCATCGCAGAAAAACTACAACATTAAATTAATTGCTTATATTTGTGATGACCATCACTTATTTGAGCGACACTTCGATGTACCATAGTTTTGTGCAATATGCGTTACACCGTTTTGAGATAAATACAGAATCATCCCATTATTTTGCAATAAGAATCACACAATTTTGTGATAAAAATTCATCACACCCCCACCCACTCCACCCCAACGAGTAATAAATCATGGGAATCGCGCAGGAAATTTTATCACACGAAAATATGTGAAAAGCATCACACTTCTTCGAATTACAGTGCGACAGTGCATCGCCACCCCCTGTCAGCCGAACCTTAATTCACCCCTGATCATCCCTCCCCTTAACACTAAACCCGCACACTGTAATTCAAAGTGTGATACTTTTCACACATTTTCGTGTGATAAAATGCCCGGTGTGATTCCCTTGATTTATCACTCCTGGGGGACTGATGAATTTTTATCACAAATATTGTGTGATACTTATCGCAAAATAATGCGATAGTTCTGGATTCATTGCAAAACAGCAGTGTGATGCTTATTGAAAAAACTAAGTTCTGGATTCATTGCAAAACAGCAGTGTGATGCTTATTGAAAAAACTAAGTTCTGGATTCATTGCAAAACAGCAGTGTGATGCTTATTGAAAAAACTATGATACCTCAAAGTATCGCTCAAATAAGTGATTATTATCACAAATGTAAGCAATGAAAATTTAATTTTCTACTTTTTTGCGATGATCATCACAACATCGTGCCATATACCTGTATCACAGAAAATGTGCAGTCAGTATCACACTGTGATTTACAGTGCACCACCTTCCTTCCCGCTTTCGCCTGCTGCTGCCTGGTCCACTTTACCCAATGCATAATATGTACCCGTAACAGGTATGTAACGACTAAAACTGTAACGGCGTTACGCCTCGTTACTGACGTAAGTAACGATTACGCGTTACCGTTACAGCTCAGTGGGAAATGTAACGCGTTACCGTTACAGTGCCCTAGAGGAAAAGTTTACTGAAGGTTGCTGTTATCTAACTGCAGATGAACTAAGCGAAAAACTTGTGGCCGCGAATTACTAACTGCGACTGGGATAAAAATGATTTTCCCGGATTATTACGGCATTTTCATCCGAGCCAAAGTGCAGTCTATGCATCAGTTACTTTACAGCTAAAAGCAGTCACATTTGCATACTGAAGTTCAACTAATCATAGCTGCTTTTCGACTGCGGACGCGACTAAGAGTGACTGGAAATACATTCGCTTGAGCTGATACCGACCGATTTTTCTTTTAGTTACTTGAGGACCGCTTTCAGTAACTTTAGTCGGAGTACAAATACTATCAGTCAGCCAAAGACCCTATATTTTGCCTGTTTTAGACAGCTTTTGCAAAAGCGTCATGTCAGTAAAATATGTTCAAAATTTAGTAACTGTCAGTCGCCCCCTTAACTAAAATTTGACTATGTCGTAACTAACATTTGCGAGAGTACTCGCTAGCAAGATAAGTCATTTTATAGCTACATGCATTTAAAATTTGTGAGCTGAAGGTTTGCTCCTCTGTGACTAGAGGGCTAGACTAGAAAAACTTCTCTTCAAAGACCTTTACTCCGTGGCGGGTTGTGACTGCTCGCAACGAAGTGACATTCAGTTAAAAAATCAGTCAATATCAGTCGAAAGTAAGTTCTCCAGTCATTAAGTCAGAGAGTCACTCTACCCCGACCAGTGGTACCCAGACAGATGCGTATAGCGTAGTGGTCTAGAGTGTCGACTTCCGTCCTGATATTTAAAGGTTCAAATACGCAATCTTTTTTTTTTTCGAAGCATAGTTAAAATGTACCAAAAGTCAGTCAAGTACAGTAAAGCTTTTCAGTAGACTCCAGGGTAATTGACAGATAAGATCAGTCGCCCTTCACTTCCTCTTAGGCGATATCAGTTCCAGTGAGTCAACCATCAGGTAAAACGCAGATAAAACAGAGCCGAGCTACTCAGCTTATATCAGTTCACTCCTGTTCCAGGGCGAGCCCTTAGTAGAACGCAAGTCAAAAGTCTGCAATTTTTAGTGAAAACGCTGGAAAACGCCGCTAAACACAGTCAATCTTAGTTAAAATCCGCCAAATGTCAGCTGATATTTTAGCTAACTTTTAGCAAAACGTCAGCAGTTCCCAGTTGCTTTTCCCCTCTAGGGTTACGAGTAACGCGGCGTTACAGTAACGTCGTTACTACGTTACTCTGTAACTTTAACAACCCTGGACGAGTTAACCCAAAGGAGACAATCCAATATCTGAAGGAAAACATTTATTTGTTTTAGGGTCATTTCACTGATGATTTGACAAAGGGGTTTAAGTCCACTTTTGCTAATTTTTCAGGAGGGCCAAAAGTGTGTCGAATTCTAGGCTGGCTGTTACAGTTTTAGAGCTAGAGTACTTTTTCCTTCACAGAATGTTTTGTTTAAGGATGCATTAGTGTTCTGCGAAACATATGCAGCTCTACCTCAATTAGAACAGTTTTTAGTGTGACTTATGTCTTTTCATACCCTTTTTTGTGGATCTGACAGAGGAACATAAGTCCATGCATGGGCTGACAAAGGAACATAAGTCCACCGGCGGGATTTGACACAGGAACATAAGTCCACCAGTGGGATTTGACATAGGAACATAAGTCCAGGTGTAGCTTCACAAAGAAACATAAGTCCACCAACAAGATTTGACAGGGGACCACTACTTTGATGAGTTACCCCTTAGAAAACCATAAAAGTATCCGAAAAATCGCAAAAATTTCCGAGTGCTTTTAAAATTGCCCGTTCTCAGTGGCCAATAAAGCATTCCGGTACAGCTGAAGTGAAGAAGAATTCGGGGAACAAAAAAAAAGTCACCATGCATACAACAGAGCGATTCCCGTTTTGTTGTTCCCCTTATACTTCTTTTCAGCTTCAACCAAATGCTTTAATTTTCAACCAGAGGGATCGACATCAGTACAGTTCTGTCTTTTTAAGTTACAAAGTTTCACTAAAAATTTGAGCTACCAATCTCAATCCGTTCACGAGTTATCGTGATAATAGACAACAGACAGACACACGTCAAATTTTTTGCTTACTGAAGTAGGTTAATGCTGGGCAATTTGAAAAGCACTCGGAAATATGAAGTATTGATAAGTACAGAAAAGTGGCATAATAAAATATCTAGAAGTCGATTTTTAAACAAATTTATTAACTATACCGTCAAATGATGAAGTAGGTACTTTGGACCACCTCATTGTGGATCACTGTAAAAATTATTTGTCACAATGGCGAAAATACTATTGCAATAGTATTTTACTATAGGTTTTCTCGTCACGGTGACGAAAAAAACCCATGACGACACCCCTGTACTAAAAATTAGCCATGGTATTTTCGTCATCGTGACAAAGAATTTTTTCAGTGATGCCATGGGGCATATTTTTGGTATCTAAATGTCCACCTTAATCAACACAATGCAGACCAAGGAAAAGACTCGTTTATAATTTGCACTGTGTGTCAAAAGAGCAGTCAAAGGAAGGTGGTCCAAATTACTTCGCATGGTCCATGTTGGACCATTTGACGGTTGAAAACAGCTTTGTAAACCCAAATGCACTATTTCCGTTGGTGTTTATAACATTTTTACACAAGCCTCTCACCTGAAAAAACTGCGCAGTCGAGCCGCGATGTGGAATTCGTAGAGCGAGACTAGGCCAAACTCGGAGCAGCCGCTGGCGTAGCTGACGCCACCATGAGTTCGTGAAGGACTGGGCACAGTGTGAGTGGAACGGGTTACCAGGACGGCGTAACGCGTCGCAATCTACACTGAATAGTGTTCGACCCATGTCATCAGTCACAAACCTGGCAGAAACAAGACCATGTTAACGTCTGGTGTGCCCTCAGTCTGCGGTGCCCGAGAGGGTGCTCATTATGATGAACTTGCCTTTCCATAAGCTCCTTCACATCAACATCAGCAAAACCTTCAGAGTTCATTTCTCCTCGGACAGAACATCGGAGATCTTGGGAAGTGCGGGCGTGAAGGGAAAACAAAGACTAGAAGCGAACACATACATAGAATTTATTAGAGGGCTCCGTAACTTATATACTCAATTTAACAAAACACGTGTCAAAATAAAATTTTAAGGTATCGATTTTGAAATATGCTCGATAGTACATACTGGAGACAAAAGTTGGACAAGTCGAATAACTAACTTATTTTCAACGAACCACTGAGTAAAAGTTACACGTTGTAACTTTAACTCTTAAAAGAGCGTAAAAAGCAGGCGCACTGTAAATCAGAGTGTGATGTTGACTGCACGTTTTTTTGTGATACAGAAATATTGCATGATGTTGTGATGGTCATCGCAGAAAAACTACAACATTAAATTCATTGCTTATATTTGTGATGACCATCACTTATTTGAGCGATACTTCGAGGTATCATAATTTTGTGCAATACGCGTCACACCATTTGAAGATAAATCCGGAATCATCGCATTATTTTGAAATAAGTATCACACAAAATTTGTTATAAAAATTCATCACTCTAGTCACATCGTGTGATAAAATTTCCTGTTTGACCCCTATGATTCATTACTATTGGTGGTGTGATGAATTTTTATCACACAATTGTTTGATACTCATTGCAAAATAATGCGATGATTCTAGATTTATCTCAAAACGTTGTGACGCATATTGCACAAAAATAATGATATGGTCATATATGATCATCACAAATATACGCAATGAATTTAGTGTTGTAGTTTTTCTGCGATGACCATCACATCATCGTGCAATATTTCTGTATCACAGAAAACGTGCAGTCAGTATCACACTCTGATTTACAGTGTAGCTTATAATATGAGGCGTTAGGTGTTCTACTGTAGCTAATGCGAAGTACTGGTCCTTCTTCTTCAGTCGAAAAGTACGTAGCTAATTTGTGACACTCGGTGCACTTCTTTAGCTGTCAGGCACTAGTGTTCAACATTCGGTAATATGAGGCACCGTGGTGGCACCGTGTCCCACATTACCTGAAATATGAAAGTCCCCCACACTTGCTTTCACTGAGTCCATTTTTGTAAAATGGCGAGAATGCGACAGCTTCAACAACATTGTCATTGTGCTAAAGATTTAAAACGGTTGCAAAATTACCTTAAGCTTAGCAGGCGTTAGGACTCGGGACATGACGTCACGTACTGCTCGCCACCGTTTTTCATCGAGAGAAAAGAGGTGAGCGCTGAGGGGGTTCGTCCGCTCATTTTTGGGCAGACCTCGATCCGGAAAAGTGCTGCAACGCAATTCATCGAAGAGTCATTGGTCATCCCAAGCATAAAGTACGAGCACAAACAAGACTCCTTATTTTGTGGCACACACTGAATGGAAAAACATTCATTTTTAAACATGTGGTATACAGTTGTTATTGTACGTACTGATTTAAGAAATCAGACATAAATATGTATAATTTTATCGAATTTTAAGAATAATAAAAATGTAGATGAATATAATTCATGTACATAAAACTTCTATATGAATATATACCTTTTATACGTTAATGCGAGTAAATGCGTAAGTTATATAATCATATAATCACTCCACACGGCATGTCGTACATGTATGTACGCATCAGTTCTTCCCATAGTTCAGGGGTCTCAGACTGTGACGTTACGCGGGCCGCACGAGTCGGACCTCTCACTCGCACTCACTGCGATCACATAGCTCCATCTCTCTCCAGTGCGGCCCTTGCGGCCCGCGGGCCGCGTGTCTGAGACCCCTGCCATAGTTCGTTTGTATATAAAACGCTTTAACCGAAGGGGTCCCTCGCTAGTCCACTCGCGTCTAATGCGTGAAAAAAACGTCTAATTCGCGAAAACTTGCGTTATTAAATGTAACTGTGAGTCGAGCGTCGAGACATGAAGTGTTAAAGATTGTTAGTCTAAGCGCTCCTGATCGACTACACTACACACCACCCCGAGTACGGGGAGGGAGCGTGGGGTGGCTAAAATACAGAACAAGACAAAGGACAATTTTGAATCTCGCGAGAATGCGTTCTTCAGCACATTTTTAAAAAGATGCAAATTTAAATTAGAGTTATATCTGAAAAGTTACAATTTGTACTTAGCCTACTTAGAAATATATGTCTGGAACGGTTGGGCCTAGATGAACAACATGTGGCGAGGGTGGTCTGCAAACCGGAAGTCGACCGAATATAGTTGGTCAAAGACCAGAGAGTTGACCCGAAAATCGTGACTTTTGCTTTATGAAATGGCTCTATCAGTTGCGTATAGTTTGTAGAGCCTAACGTTTTACCAGCTAAATACTTATGGTTACGGCTGCCACGGCACAACGACAATGTGATTTAAATTTCTGGCGACATAATGTAAACCTGTACATCGCAGAACGGCGATAGTCTTCAGTAAACACTTACATGTTGTCGGTACATACGCGGTGGATAACGTTGAGATCGACGAGTAGTGTTTCCCATCTTAGACCTGCGCCAACCCTTATGCCGGGAGTAGTTTTTTCGCTTTCACGAGCTCTTAGGTATACAGCCTGCAAGGCGAGCGCCTCTGGCAGTTCTTGCAATGACTGCCTACCTGAAAGGGTACATGAGTTTAGCCTCTGTCCACAACACATCACACTCATAGAATGCCTAGCGCACGATAGATTCGTATCGTATGACCAGCATTATGAGTTTACGGTTCTTGCACGCAAACATGGGATAAGATGTAGGTAAAAATGATAAAATAAGTGCAACTACTCCAGACTAGTAAGTGCACAACTGCAAGTTGAGTTCTTCCGAGTACACAACTACGCAGTTACACACTTACAAGTGTTAAGCAGTTCTACACTTAAATTATGAGTTTGGGGACAGAAAATAGAGGATGAGAGGGGGGATGAGAGAAGGGGACGGGGGGGGGGGGGGCAGACGCCAGACCACATCTCGCGTAACAGGCTTCGCGAAATCACACGCTGCGCTGTTACGCTGCCGACGCGCCTGGCAAACATCTACCTAGACCTGCGGCGCTGAGAAGAAAGTCAGGCATAAGGCTTAGTCGTAGATAGGCCTCCAGCCCCGAAAGTCACAAATTTTGGGCCCCAGGGTTTTATTTTGACGAGTTTTCCGATTGGAAAAGTCCCTCTGGCATCCAAACGGCTAGAAATAAAGCCAAACCACGGCATGTCGTCTCTTCGGGCTCTACTTTGACGAGTTACCCCATAGGAAGCCATCAAAATAATTGAAAATTAGCAATATTTCCCTGCTTTTAAAAAGCTGGAGGGCTAAAAATCATACAGTTCTTGCTTTTTATGACATAAAGTTGTAACAAAAATCTTATGCACCTAGCTCAAACCATTCTCGAGTTATCGGGATTACAGACACAAACAGACAGACGCGAAACCATTGATCGATGGAGTAATAGGCTTTGCTAAAACTCAGCCAATCAAGAAGCCTTTTTGGCGACCACGCTGAGTGGATCTGCTTGATACCACAAAGAAATTGCAACAAGGGTGAGAATGTGAAGGATAATTACCAGGGAGGTGAAAACGGAAAGTGGACCCTAGGTTCAGCCGCAGCAGCACAGCATAAAGACACAGGACGGCCACAAGAAGCAAAGTTGAGGTTGTCCACATTTCGTCTGTAATTAAAAAAAAACCTTCGGTAAGTGTGCGTTAATACAGAATAAGGCTTCGCACACTGTTTAATTCCGACAAAGCATTCGCTTTGCAGAGCTGAGAAGTATTTTGCTCCTTTGTAACTACGAAGCATTTACCTTGCAATTACAAAGTGATGCTTTGCAATTGCGAAGCAATGAAAACGTAGCAAAGCATCGCTTTGCAAATGCAAAGTCGACCCCTGAAAACTAAAAGGTCGTAACTCGGAGCGGCTGCGTATAAGGTCGTACTTCGGAGCGGTTGCGTATAGTGTCGGATCTCGCCAGCGTCCCAGAGAATGGTCGTAAGTCTATTTTTTGTCGATTTTGCGAGATGCATTAGAAAGAGAATTTTCTCCCGATTCTAATGGTATGCATCTCGCAAAACCGACAAAAAATCGACTTACGACCATTCTCTGGGACGCTGGCGAGATCCGACACTATACGCAACCGCTCCGAGGTACGACCTTATACGCAGCCGCTCCGAGGTACGACCTTTTAGTTTTCAGGGGTCGAAGTGTCACTTCTTCAAGTCATTTCTTGATTTCGTCACTCTCTATTTCGTTCCGCGAGTCATCCCCACCACTCCAGGCGGACGAGCAAGAGGCGGCTGAGCTCTGACAGGTGACGAGACGGTCCAGCACCCAGCTGCCAGGGGATTAGCGACCAGCGGGGAGAGGTCCAAGCCGGGCCGTTCGCCTGTTCCGATCGAGTTGTGTTCTGTTCGAAAAACGTTCATTATGTTCATTGCAACGTATTGCTTTTAAAACAAGCAGGCCCGCCCTTCCGCCAAACGAAGTTGCCAGCTCCGCTTCGCTCCGCCGGCAACTCCGTTCGGCAGGGGCCGGGCCTGCTTGGCCTGCCGGCGGCGATGGTCGGGCCTGCGGCCCGACCATTTCTGCTACGCGATTTGCTGAAGAGCATGATCGAATGATGTAGCGGGCCTTCGGCCCGCTTAAACCCGTCGTCTTTGAGTTTGCCCCAAAAACTCGAGAAAGGGATGTAACGGTGAAGCACCGTGACTACAACCCACCCTTCCGCTTAGCAAACGTTTTTCGGGGGTGGGGGGAGAGTTTCCTTTCAATTTTGCTGTTTTTAGGCCTTTCACTACAACTTATTGTTCACTATGGCAATTTTTAGCTTATTTTCGTCCAAAAAATACCCTGTAGCGCCTAAACGGTTTTAGACAGAGCAAAACGGACGAAATTTTCGCCCAAAGGGCTCTACTTTGACGAGTTACCCCTTAGGAGAACATAAAAAAAAATACTTTTTGGAAGAATTTTTTAACCTTGGATACCCCCATTCACACCCTTAGGGGTGGTTGCCAGGATTTGCCGTAGGCGTTTCGTTCTCTAGAAGTGGACCTTAAGATCCCCTGAAAATTTCAAGTCTCTAGCACATCTCCTTCCAATGGAACAGACAGACAGATAGACACGAGGTCGTTTGCATAAGCCCGCTGGATAGCTTTTTCAAAGCAGAAGGGCGGGCTAAAAAAACATTTTTTTACGTCCAAACCGCATGTCTCAACTCCAATTTTGAGGTTTTTAGCCGTTATTTGGCAACCAGTGCTAAAAACCTCAAAATTGGAGTTTAGACATGCAGTTTGGATGAAAAACAATGTTTTTTAGCCCGCCCTTCTGCTTTGAAAAAGCTATCCAGCGGGCTTATGCAAACGACCTCCTGTCTGTCTGTCTGTCTGTTCCACTAGAAGGAGATGTGCTAGAGACTTCAAATTTTCAGGGTATCTTAAGGTTCACTCCTAGAAAACGAAACGCCTACGGCAAATTCTGGCAACCAACCCTAAGGGGCTGAAAGGAGGTATCAAAGGAAAGTGGGTAGGTCTAGAATGTCGGAATTTTTTTTTTTTATGAGCCTCTAAGGGGTAACTCGTCAAAGTAGCGCCCTGTGGGTGAAAATTTTGTCCGTTTTGCTCTATCTCTCACCGTTTAGGCGCTAGAGGGAGTTTCTATCACGAAAGTGGCCCAAAAATAAACATATTAATTTTACAATAAGATGTAGAAAAAAGCCTAAAAACCGCAAAGTAGCTAGGAAACTCCCCCCACCCCCAAAAAACGTTTTCTAAGCAGAAGGGTGGGTTGAAGTCGCGGTGCTTCACCGTTACATCCCTTTCTCGAGTCTTTTGAGCAAACTCAAAGATGACGGGTTTTAGCGGGCCGAAGGCCCGCTACATTATTTGATTATGTTCTTTCGAAAACTGCGTGACAGAAATGGTCGGGCCGCAGGCCCGACCATCGCCGCCGGCAGGCCAAGCAGGCCCGGCCCCTGCCGAATGGAGTTGCCGGCGCAGCGAAGCGAAGCTGGCAACTTCGTTTGGCGGAAGGGCGGACCTGCTTGTTTAAAAAGCAAGACGATGCAATGAACATACTGAACGTTGTTCGAACAGAACACATTTTGATCGGAACAGGCGAACGCCCCGCCTAACACCTCTCTCGGCCGGTCGCTAATCCCGGCCACCCGGCCCCGCCTCGCCCCGAGCCACGCCCAGGAGCAATACCCGGTCCCTACCTGGGGTTTCTTGATTACAGTCCGTCGCCGGGCCCGAAACGCCGAACCAAATCAAGAAATGACTGGCAAAGCATCACTTTGTAATTGTGAAGTAAACGCTTCGTAGTTACAAAGGAGCAAAATACTTCGCAGGAATTCACCAGTGCACTTTTTTTTTCTTGACACTTAACTGTTATGAACTCTGGTTTGTCCCCAGCCTATGTATTTTTGTGAACACGCGCTATTGCGTTACTGCGTATTTATTTTACACGTACTTACGAACAGAGTTGGAGAAATTTCTGCAGAATTTCCATTTGCAGCTATGAACCGTTTTGTCCATAACTGCGTATAAAGTAATACGCAGTATTGCATGTTGACAGAAATACTTAAGTCCCTATTAAAAAGTTCACAAGATTTTGGGTTTTACGAAAGTGAAGGAACTTTCCGTCGAAATGTCGCTGTCACTTTAGCGGCAGCACAGGTACAAACTCACCACTGTGGTACTGTCCAGCAGCGTATAAGGTTGCGTTAATTTCAGAACCGCGGCCGTAGCCGACGGTGAAGTTGTCCATGCTGAAGACGAAGCGTCACTGTGCGTCTCCTCCTGCCACCGAGCGAAGACTGCTCCGGCGAGTACCGTCGGGGAATAGGGGGCCGAGCGCGCGAGTGAGCGGGCGTCCCACCAGGTACTTCCCCGTGGGGACGCCGCGCTCTCTCTCGCGTGAAAAGAGGCAGGGTGGGGGAATCAGTTAAACCAACGCGCGGGCGATACAGCTCTTGCCAACGCTGCCAATAGGCCATGAAAACTAAAATGCCGACAATTTCGGACGAAAATTATGATTTGTTTTCCAAAAGAATTTGTTTGTGAACACTCACGGAAAATTTTACTTGACCATTGATTTAGAATCATAGTACAGTAAAGAATCCGTATGGTATTCATGTCCTCATACGGCAAGCTGCAAAGTTACGGTCAGCCCGGTTCAGCCCGGAACTTGGGGAATAGCCGGCAAACAGTAGGGTCCAAAAGCACGCTGGTCATACTTCAGGCGACGTCTCGCGTAACAGGCTTCGCCAATTCTCGTGACACACCAACTCGAGGCGTCTACACTTTTAATTCGGGGCCGGGGCGGGGTGTCCTGCAGGTAGGCGTCAAGTCGTCTAACCCCGCCCCGCTCTGCGAGTGGCTGAGCTGTAATGTGGTATCATGCCGCCGATGGCCGAAAGGCGTTTCCTAACTGTTGACGGTGAAACAGGACTGAAACTGGCATAAAACGGGTATTTCGAGTTTAAAATCTAAATGCGAATTAAATTTAAAAAAACGCTCTCAAAAGCAAGTTAAGTTAATTCATTGCGGTTCTTTTAAGATATAGTACGCCTATGGTTGAACGTGACTGCACTGTAATTCAAAGTGTGATACTTTTCACACATTTTCGTGTGATAAAATGCCCGGTGTGATTCCCTTGATTTATCACTCCTGGGGGGGTGATGAATTTTTACCACAAACATTGTGTGATACTTATCGCAAAATAATGCGATAGTTCTGGATTCATTGCAAAACACTGTGATGCTTATTGAAACAAGCTGGGCCCGCTCTTCCGCCAAACCAAGTTGCCAGCTCCGCTTCGCTCCACCGGCAACTCGGTTCGGCAGGGAGCGGGCCCAGCTTGGCCTGCCGGCGGCGTTTGGGACGGGCCTTCGGCCCGTCCCTTCTGTATTTTTATGGTGTAATACATCTTCTATCCGAAAACGGGCCTTCGGCCCGTTTGAGTGACGGCTCGCTTCGAACCATCTTTTTGCCAGGTACCTTTTCTGTCTACTTCGTAAGTAAAACTCAACAAACAAAGTATTCTTTTTATACGCTGAACATCTTTGGCTGTGTGTGCCGCAGTTTGTAGAATACATGCAAGTTATGCCGAAATTTTAAGTTATTGATGTTAGCTTATGAATCCAATAACACACCTATGAAAATGTACATAAGACTAAACCTAGAAGTTAAATATACTTCCAGGCATACTCTGAATGACACCGAACGTGTTCAAGCAACAAAAAACTAAATGTGTTTTTTTTTGCATGAAAGTGTACACGTTGTATTAATGATGTCCCACCATAAAATAAGCCCACTCTTCTGCTTAGAAGAAAATTTTGAACCGGCAGCATACTTCTCAGACAGAAGTGTACTTCTGAAAAAATAAAAATATTTCTGTTTTGGCCATTTTGGTGAGAGAAACTCCCTCTATCGCCTAAACGGTGAGAGATAGAGCCAAACGGACGAAATGTAAACCCAGAGGGCTCTATTTTCACAAGTTACCCCCTAGGAAACCATCAAATATTGTCAAAACTTAATACATTGTTTCGGGGCCACTTTTGTCAGAAAAACTCCCTCTAGCGCCTAAACGGTGAGAGATAGAGCCAAACGGATGAAATTTTAGCCCAAAGGGTTCTACTTTCCCAAGTTACCCCTTAGGAAACCATCAAATATTTTCTAAGCTTAATATATTTTTTTGGGGCCACTTTTGTCAGAAAAACTCCCTCTAGCGCCTAAACGGTGAGAGATAGAGCCAAACGGACGAAATTTTAGTCCAAAGGGCTCTACTTTCGCGAATTACCCCTTAAGAGACAATAAATAAAATA